CCTGCTGTTATTATTGTCGTTTTCCTTATAATTTTCCCTACAACAACCAGTACTAGGCCTAAATCACTGATAACCCAATATTCCTTTAGCTCGGGAAAGAAAGTAACCTCAATTAAATATTCCAGCAATGAAAATACCATTGCTAAAAGATAGTGTTTGCTAATCAAAAGGGACTTCAAAGTTACACTTGACTTTCCATGAATGAAGGCGGCTAGAAAATATTCTGAAACATGAAAGAAGATAACTGCAATGAACATTTGAGACAATTGTCTGCAAGCAGTGTAGCTTAGGATTTCTGTCATTTTTGCCAAATGAATACAGCAAGCTTGTCTTGTTTCAATTTCTTAGAACTGAACTGTTAATTGTTTATTGATTTTTGCTTTTTAATCTTTCTATGCAGGGCTGAACTGTGGACGGGCTAGGAGTTTCCTCATGAGAATGAGCTTTGTTCTGCCATAGAAGCCGGATCAATACCTTTGTAGATTGAAGATTCGAGATTCCTTAATGCAAATGGCGCCAAAAGAGGCTTGAGATGAAGGCAAAGGTGTTAACCTTCTCACTCTCATGTTAGGATTCCTTTCTTCAATTATCTATCTCTTTGTTGTTGGCAGGAATTCCAATGTCAACATATCGCATAGGAGAATCAGTGTCACAGAAAGCAATTGTGGGAATATTCCCAAGAGCTGCTTCTTTAATTGGCTGGTGATCAGTTCTTTGGTCAGTGAGGATGAGAAGACGTGGCTCGCTGAATGAAGTTTGAAGCTGATTAGTAAAAATTCCAGGAATGTGTCTTCCAGCGATAGCATGAGCACCAGTATACTGAGCAAATTTGAGAACAACTCTATGTCCATAAGGTCTAGCAGATTGAACAATAATATCCTGAGGATTCTCCATTGCAACAATAACCCTTGCAGCAAGTTGAAGTTTCTCCCATGTTTTTCCCTTTTCCTTTTTTTGTAAAAGTTTATTTGGACCTTTGTAACTCTGTTTTGTAATCTCGAAATGACATATACTGTAATATGAGTGAATGAAAGACGCTCGAATGATTGAACTTGAGTGATTTTGAATAATTTGAATGACCATGGATGGGAATAGTTCCGACTTGTAATAGAAATTTGATTTCTTTTGTAAATTTGTGGCCTTTTGTATGTTTTGAGAATTATGTAGTCAAAGCAGAGGCTTGAATGAGATGTAACTGGTAGAACTTGAATATGCTGAAACTTGCTACAATTCAACATTCCATGTCTATTATTTATGAGTTTTTTGCAAGATGAATCCTCTTGAATTATGACACTTCTAAACATTCTTTAAATTTCTTAGCTCTCGGTAAATGGAGGCCTTGATCACTTTTTAGTCAAATTAAGGATTCTATCCATCCGACCTCAAATTTAATCCATGGTACTCCATGATGAGTGTCTTATGTGTTTTCACAAGAACTTGAATCAAAATTTCCCTTGTATGCCATATTCCTATAAGAGCTTTGGTTCAAACAAACTTGTACACCATGCTTTGGATCTTAAAACTCAAATTTCGATGTTTGAAATTCCAATTTTAAACACCTCGCACCTCAAACTCGCATGAATGGAGACCCTTGACTTTTAACCTTGAATGATGACATATTTGTAAAAATGATGATGATTTGTACTTGGAATGCGAAACTTTGATGACTGAGATGTCTTTTGTAACATCGGTGTAATGACTTGAATTTGTAATGAACAAAATTTTATAACTTCTTGCATGACAAATTTCCAATTATTCAAAACATTTCTCTCATTCAGTTTGAGCTTGAATGGATACTTGAATGAACTTGAGACAAACATGATAAACACTCGATTGCTATTTAAGTGAATCTTTTTATATTTTACCTTGGGATGAACAATAATGTGGGACAATCTTGAAAATAACAACTTGAATCATGAAGAGATTTACTTGATACCATGTACTTTAATCTCAACTTATATTCATGTGCCATCTTCCTCCGCAAGAATTTATGAAATAAACCTTCGGGCATGTTATTTCCTTTTTTATCAAGTTGAGCCTTAACCCATGTTTGAAACCAAAGTTCTTGCACAAATATCCAAACAATAGCTTGTACCAATCATTCGCAATACCTTGACTGTCAAGCAACCAAATTTACCATACAAAATATCTTAAATCATGACGCACCCAATCCTAATTGATTAACTTAAGGATAGATGAACTTAATGCAACAATGACATAGTCAACACCCTGTATTGCAAGCATCATATGCATCCTGGATTGATAACAGATCTTGATCCTTTAGAGAAGATCTTAATAAACCTCTAGTATTGACAAAACCTTGACTAAATGATAAGCACAATGATAGAATGAGGTGTTTTGAATCATGTACGCAAGATCACAACATTACATTATTGACAGGAATACCCTGCAACTTATTGTTCAGCAGAAGATAATAGCCTTGTAGCTTGATGGAGAAGAAATCCAAAAATGAGAATGAACCAAAACCCTAATTCCACAGCTTGCTGCCTGAATAAGAAATCATCCCTTATTGGATACAAGCACCTTAACCACTGGGAAACCCTAGTATCGCACAACCACTGGACTTTGAATCCTCAGAGCTATATTGAATGAAATGTATGTCATGTTAGTGACCTAATGAAATAGATGCAGATGAATGTAAAAGTCTAAGCCAAAATAAAAGAAATTAGGAGGGCAAATTTTAGGGTGCAACAAGAAGCACAATGGAAACTCATGTCAACCTCATCCTTAGCATCTTTTAAGTCGATAATTTGACAAACCTTAGTTTTTTCATTTATATCCATCAAATGAATTCAAATTTTTTTTTTTTTACTTTTTAAATGTTAAATTCAATACTAAATTCAGTCTTTGTGTTCCATAATCAGTGGCTCTCACCCCAAAATCACTTACAATAATTTGATGCGTTTGTTAAACTACCATCTAATCGAGCTACATCAGCATATATTTTATCGAAATTTATGCCTTCATGTTGATTGTATTCCTTTGCAATAAGTATGACTTTGTTTCTTATAATATTTCAATTTTCGTCAAGCTTGTTGTGAAAGATTCATTGAGTACCAACCGCTTAATTAGATGAAGCTTTGGGAACAAATCATCAATTTTTATTTTGTTTAAATTGATGTAACTCTTCTTGCATGGTAAGATATCAGTTTTCATCAACGATTGCCTCATCAATTTCCTTTGTCTTAATTTGTAAAACAAAAGTCACAAAATTACATACCTTATTAAGATAGTATTGAGTAGTAATTTCCTTGGAAATATCTCCAATGACATTCTGAATTGGATGGTCCTTGGTCATCCTCCATTTCTTCAGAAGATCTTGATGATCTATAGGAGTTTTCTTATTAAGATCTTGAGCTTGTTATTGATCTGAAACTTGATATTGATTTTGTTCTACACTTGATCTTTATTCATTTCTTCTATAGCCGTTTTTTCTAAGATACCAGCACAATGAACAACTTCCACTTTTATAGGTTTGGATTAGTATCATCAAATGTTACATGAACAAATTCTTCTGTAGTCAAGGTTCTTTTGTTAAACACTTTAAAAACTTTATCGACGTGGACTATCCTATGAATATGCCTCGTCAACTTTTGCGTCAACTTTCCAAATTTATTCTTCTTGTTATTAAGGATAAAGCATGTGTATTTAAAGACATGTAAATGAGAAATATCCAACTTTCTTTATATAACTCATAAGGTGTCAACTTTTGAAGAAGGCTTGTTTGAAATTATGGAAGAAGAATGTACCATAAAAAATTCAAGTTTTCTATTGAAGGTTTATTTTGGAAAGATTACCAACTCATGATGAATTAGAAAAAAAAGGTGTAATTGAAGAAAACCATAATGTTGTATGTGTTTTATGCTCACAAAACCATGAAAGCCATTCACTTTTTTGGTTTTTCATGTGTGTTTGACGATGTGGAGAGAAGTCTATGCATGGTCTAATATTTCAATGCTGGAAGGTTTGATGGGAATTCAGCATCTTTTTGAATTCCCTTTTAAATTGAAGGGTTGTGATAAGAAGATAAAAAGTATGTTTTGGTTGGTTACTTTGTGAAGCATTTGGTTGATGCAAAGTTATATTACATTCAAAGAAACAGTGACTGACCTATAAAATAAATTATTATTATTTTATAAATAATATCTTAAAATGCTGAAATTAATAGGTGGGTCATATTGGAGTGCCAATATAATTGAATGTCAAATATGCCATGCTGAAATTTATTTTGAAAAATAATTTAATAAAGTTATCATTTTTTTCATTAAATATGCAAAGACCGAAGGAGAAATATTCAATTTTATTTTTGCTACCAAAACAAAATGCATTCATAATTACTACACACAGTGCGTTACAGTTGTCTAAAATTTAAAAAACAAGCACACTCATAATAATGAGAATAATAATTCATATCAAAACAAATGAGAAACTTTGCTTCCGTTGTTGTTTTCTTCTTTGTATTATTGCCAAATGCATCTTCCTGTTTATTTCCAATATATTCATAAAATCCTACAAGAGTATATACTCACATTAATATATTTTCAATAATTAGGCACTCAAAAAACAATATAAATATCATTGTAATATAATTATATAAACTAAATACTTTATTTAGTATGAATTTTGAAAAATCAACTCAAACGTTTTATAAAAAGAAACTAAAAACCAAAAGAAAATTTTTTTTTGCAATAACTATATGTTGAAGTATGTGTAAAATTTTGATGTTAAATTTTTTTTACAATTTTGATTATAGAAATTAAAAATGAAAGCGAGGCCAATATTAGATAATGACATGCATTTGCATGCATGTAAAAGTACTCAAATGACTTATTTTATTTTTCTTATTTAATTGTTTCCCTTGAAAAAATAAAGAGTAAAACATTAATTAAATTGTTAAAAGAATTTTAATTATGAAATGTATTTTTTCTGTTGGAAGTGTAGGAAGTAACATACCTTGGGATGATATTTTAAACCACTATCTAGTAGTGATAAGGAGGAGGAGGTGATGCATAGATGTAGTGTGGAGGAGGAGGTGAATGAACCGGTGGAGGAGGCGAAGAGTAAATATAGTGTGATAATGGTGGTGAGTAAACAGGTGGAGGAGGAGATTTATATTTGTAAATAGGTGGGGGAGGTGATTTATACTTGTAAACTGGTGGTGGTGGAGATGCATACTTGTATGGTTTTTTAATCGGAGGTGGTGGTGACTTGTATTTGTACACAGGTGGAGGAGGTGATTTATACTTGTATACTGGTGGTGGAGGAGATTGATACTTGTATATTGGTGGAGGAGGTGAATTGTATTTGTAAACTGGAGGTGGTGGAGATGCGTACTTGTATGGCTTTTTAGGCGGAGGTGGTGGTGACTTGTACTTGTACACTGGTGGAGGAGGAGATTTGTATTTGTAAACTGGTGGTGGTGGAGATGAGTACTTGTATTGTTTTTTAATCGGAGGGGGTGGTGAGTGGTATTTGTACACAGGTGGAGGGGGTGACTTATACTTGTATACTGGTGGAGGAGGTGAATTATACTTGTAAACTGGAGGTGGTGGAGATGCATATTTGTATGGCTTTTTAGCTGGAGGTGGTGGTGATTTGTATTTGTACACATGTGGAGGAGGTGACTTATACTTGTAAACTGGTGGTGGAGGAGATTGATACTTGTACACTGGTGGAGGAGGTGAATTATACTTGTAAACTGGTGGTGGTGGAGATGCATATTTGTATGACTTTTTAGCTGGAGGAGGTGGCGACTTGTATTTATACACAGGTGGAGGAGGTGACTTATACTTGTAAATTGGAGGTGGAGGAGATTGATACTTGTACACAGGTGGTGGAGGTGAATTATACTTGTAAACAGGCGGTGGAGGAGATGAGTACTTGTATGGTTTTTTGGCCGGAGGTGGTGGTGACTTGTAAATGTACACCGGTGGAGGAGGAGATTTGTATTTATAAACTGGTGGTGGAGGAGATTGATACTTGTACACTGGCGGAGGAGGTGAATTATATTTGTACACTGGTGGTGGAGGAGATTTATACTTGTACACTGGCGGAGGAGGTGAATTGTATTTGTAAACTGGTGGTGGAGGAGATTTATACTTGTACACTGGTGGAGGAGGTGAATTGTACTTGTAAACCGGTGGTGGGGGAGATTTATACTTATACACTGGTGGAGGAGGTGAATTGTACTTGTAAACTGGTGGTGGAGGAGATTTATACTTGTACACTGGTGGAGGAGGTGAATTGTACTTGTAAACCGGCGGTGGAGGAGATTTATACTTATACACTGGTGGAGGAGGTGAATTGTACTTGTAAACTGGTGGTGGAGGAGATTGATACTTGTACACTGGCGGAGGAGGTGAATTGTACTTATAAACTGGTGGTGGTGGAGACGAGTACTTGTATGGCTTTTTAGCAGGTGGTGGCGGTGACTTATACTTATACAAGGGTGGAGGAGGAGAATTGTATTTGTAAACTGGTGGTGGGGGTGATTTATATTTGTAGACTGGTGGAGGTGGTGACTTATACTTGTAAACTGGTGGAGGAGGAGACTTATACTTATACACCGGTGGAGGTGGAGATTTATATTTGTAAACTGGAGGTGGTGGTGATGAGTACTTATACGATGGTGGGGGAGGGGAAGAATACTTATATGGAGGCGGAGGCGGTGATTTATATTTGTAAACTGGTGGTGGAGGAGAAGAATATTTATATGACTTCTTTGGTGGTGGTGGTGGTGAACTATAATGATAAGGTGGAGGAGGTGAGTGCACTGGAGGTGGTGGAGAAGAGTATTTATATGGCTTCTTTGGTGGTGGTGGTGGTGAACTATAATGGTAAGGTGGAGGAGGTGAGTTCACCGGTGGTGGTGGAGAGTTGTAGTAGTAAGGTTTAGGTGGTGGTGGTGGAGATGAATAGATGTAGTTATTTGCTTGGGATGGCAAGGAAAGAGAAACTATTGTCAAAGCAATAGTGAGACTAATAGAGGCCATTTGAGGCCCCATGTTTTCTCAAAGTGGGTTTTGGTATTTCTATTATGAAACGTAGCATCCCTTTATATAGTTTTTTCTTTACCCATTTTTTCTTTTATCCCTAAATAAAAGAAATATGCTTTTTTGGGCCAATGTGAGTCAAGTGGGTTGTGGAAGGCAGGTTTGGATTTTGATAGAGACAGCAAACTATGAAAAGTAAACAATCATTATTTTATATGCATGAGTAAAGTAAGTAGCATATTAGCTGGCAAATGTTGACACTGATATTTTTTCTCTCTTTATTTATCTAGGTATTAAAATATATAACCCTTTTAAATACAAATCAGTTAAAAAATTTATTATAATATTAAATTATTTGATAACTAAATTTAATAATAAAGTAGTAATTGAATAAGATTATTTTTTATAAAAGAAGATAGTATTATTGTAAAATATTTATTATATATTAGCAAAAAAGAGACAATATAATTAGCGTTCGTCTAAAATTGATCTAATATAAAGTCAGATTTTATTATTATTATTATTATTTATCTTAATAATATATTATATTAATTTGAAAATTTTACTATTTTAACATTATTTCTTTATAAAATATTAAGGATCCATTATTAATTTATTTATAAAATTTATATTTAGTGATGGAGATAATATAATTATTATTTTAACTAGTGAAATCAATAAACCGTTGTCATTGTTGAATTATTTATTGGGTATTTTCATCAAATTGATCTGTCTTTTCTGCTTAACAAACTTTGAAAAACTTTACATTTTATCCTATATTGTGTCTCACTTGACTGCCCCCAATAACTTTAATAATAATTATCTGGTTTGTCCTCTAATCAATTGAAAAATTGTAAAAAAAAGAAAGTGAATTCGACTTTTCCTACTAATCATTATCGATGTATTTTAAGGTATATTTTCTCTCAACTAAAATAGTATAAAAATTTGTAGTTGTTGGACAATACTCATAGTATATTAATAGCTGTCTGTGAATGGCTAACACGTTGAATGATTGCTTGATTAATTCAAACCTTATAACTAAAGGCCGTCTCTAATATAGTAGAACTTTAGGAATTTCAATTCCAATAATTTAGAAATATATTTTAAATGATAACTTGATGTTTGATTATTACTTAGAGTTGGTGTGCAAGGCCTTAAGATTGATAATTAAGAAACCAATTCATAACTCTTTATCATATTTAAGAGTTTTTGTAGTCATTATTTAGTTCATATTGATTAGTTTTAGAGTTTATTTTTGTTGAGTGAAAACATATAATTTAAGTGCTGTAATCGATTAATACAGGGGTGTAATCGATTACAGTTTGGTGAAAAATACTTTTGTGCGACGAAAAAAGCATTCATAGAGTTGGTGTAATCGATTACACATTCGCGTTAATCGGTTATGCCTCTTCTACCTTTTAGTTTTTGTATTAGCTGTAACCGGTTAATCATTTTTGTTAACCGATTACAGCCACAAGTTTTTATTTTTTCTTGTATTTGGATAATGTGTATTAGATCCCAATTATCTTATAACACTTATATAAAAGTCTTAGAGGCATCCTCGTCATTTGTATGAAAATTATCATTCTCACCCTTAACTCTCTCTCTCTCTCTCTCTCTCTCTCTCTCTCTCTCTCTCTCTCTCTCTCTCTCTCTCTCTCTCTCTCTCTCTCTCATTCTCTTCTTTTTCACTATCACTCTCTCCACATACTCCATTGTATATCAATTGTGTGGTTGTGTGTTCCAATATTTGGTATTAAGAGTCTGGTTCTGATAAATAAAATCTGATGTGCAACATGAATATTGTCTCCAATGATAGAGTCCTTACAAACCTACCAATCCTTGGTGCGAAGAATTACGACAAATAGTACAAGTAAATGAAGGTGTCGTTTGGCCACCAAGATATTCTTGAAGTGATCAAGAATGGGGTGAATCCTCTTGTCGAAGGTGCAACATGTGAACAAAAGGCTACGTACAAGGAAGAAAAGAAGAAAGATTACAAAGCGATGTTCTTGATCCATCAATGTGTCAATGATGACAACTTTAAGAAAATTGGTGATTGCGAAACGTAAAAGGAAGCGTGGGAAATCTTGGAAAAGGCATATGCATGGGCTGATAAGGCAAAGATGGTGAAGTTACAAACTGAAAAACGTAAATTTGAATTGATTCAAATGGAGGAAAATGAGACAATTGACAATTACGTGACGCGAATTACTTGGTTGGTGAACCAAATTAAGTCTTGTGGAGAGACTATTTTTAAGCATAATGTTTTATCGAAGATCTTGCGTTCTTTGACGGTAATATTTGACAACATTGTAGTGGCGATTGAAGACTCGAAAGATCTTGTGACGTTGAGTAAATATGAGCTTCAAAGCTCTCTTGAGGCTCATGAGCAAAGGATGGAGGAGAGAAATAACAATACAGAAAAGGCAGAGATCGATTTGCAAGCTTAGTTCAATGAGAAGAACAAGAAGTTGAAAGTAAAATGGCCCATAAAGAGTAAAGGGAATTTTTAGAATTTTGGTGAAAAAGAGTCTCAAAATTCGAAGAATTCGACTTGTCAAAGAGGTGAGAGAAACTGCAGCATAAATGGTGGTTAAGGCAACTTTAGAGGCGAAAAAGCAAAATTTTACATAAGCAAGGCACAATGCTTCAATTGTCAAAAGTTCTCTCATTTCTCAAGAGAGTGCAACGAAAAACAAAGGGAATTTCAAAGAGATGAATCCAAGGTTCCAAGACAAGAGATTGATGAACAGAATACACTCTTGGTCATGTCCATAGAAGGCGAAGACAACAACAGTTATGGGAATGCTGCATAAACATATGTAGAAGAAAATGTTATGGTGACTGTGAGAGAAGGAGTCATGTGCAGCAAAGAATGATACTTGGAATCTTGATGTTCTACGCATATGATAGGGAGAAAGGATTGGTCTGTTAAAATCAATCAAGCCACAAAGTATAAAGTGAAATTCATGGCGGTCAATGGTTTTGATCATGAAAATGGATGATAGGAATTCCTTGATCAAAGATGTATTGTACATTTCTGGAATCAAATGAAACCTTCTAAGTATTTGTCAACTGCTTAAGAAGGGTTACAAGATTCGCATGGAAGACAAGACATTATGCGTTATGGATGTAACACAGTTTTGGTCCTTAAAGCTCTTTTGGATGCCAATAAAACTTTCAAGATTGAGTTGAAGGTGATGGAGCATAAGTGTCTTGCTAAAGTGGAAAGTCGAGAAGAGTGGTTGTAGCACAACCGTCTTTGACATCTCAATTTTTGAGATCTCAATAAAATTGCAAAAGAATGGAATGGTAATCAGGTTTCCATCCATCAACATTCTAGTTGAGATTTGTGAAGAGTGTGTGCAAGAAAAGCAACACAAGGGTAAATTCAGTAAGGATGCAAGTTATAGAACCAAGCATCACCTTAAGGTGATGTATTCTTATATATGTGGGCCGATGCAAGTTGATTCGTTTGGTGACAATATGTACTTTATCACTTTTATCGACGATTTTAGTAGAAATTTATGGACATACCTAATCAAGAGAAATGATGAGGTATTCAAAGTGTTTAAGAAGTTTAAGTCCATGGTTGATTGGAAAAGCGATCATAAGCTCAAAGTTCTCAAAATGGACGGTGGAGGTGAGTCTGTCTCAAATGACTTTAGGAAGTTTTGTGGTGAAGATTGGATAGTGCATGAAGTAGCACCACCTGATACACCACCACAAATGGTGTTTCTGAAAGAAAGAAAGAATGGATTGATTATGACATAGTGAGAAGCATGTTAAAAGGAAAGAACTTTATGAAAGATTTATGGGGAGAAGCAATATCCACAACTGCCTATTTGTTGAATAAGTGTCTTACAAAAAAGCTTGAGAAGTTAACACCGGAAGAAGCATGGCCTGAATCCAAACCAAATTTAAACCATTTGAGAATTTTCAGTTTTGTGGCGTATCGACATGTTCCAGGTTAACTTAGAAAGAAGTTGGATGACAAGCGTGAGACGATGATACTAGTAAGGTATCATACCACTGGAGGTTACAACCTGTTTGATGCTAAAAATACTAGGACTATAGTCAGCTGAGATGTTGTATTCGATGAATTAAAGCAAGTGGAAAAACCAGGAAACGGTTACAAACATTCATTAACTAGTTACATGCAGGCATTGTTACAAACCATTAACTAGATACAACTTTGAAATTCTAGATTCTGAAGAATTCGAAAGTGCAAAAATGCAGCGTGTCGAAGCCATAATTGATGAAAATGTGAGACGGTTAACTAGGAAAAGAGATTTACCTCAAATAATCCAAGATTGTGAGATATTATGGGACAACGAAATCAACGACGATGGTGATTTCTTCAATTTTTCACTTATGGCCACATCCAAGTCTGTTATGACGGAAGAGGCCTTGAGTGATCCAAAGTGGATTTGTGTTATGAAGGAGGAGTTGGAATCGATTGAGAAAAATCGTACTTGGGAGTTAGTTGATCTACTGAAATTAGAAAGGAAAGAAGTCAATTTGTGTAATATAGGTCTATAAGGTGAAGGTAAATACCAAAGGTGAAATAATCAAGCATAAGGCTCGATTAGTTGTAAAGGGATTTTTGCAAAGAGAAGATATAGACTTTGATGGGGTACTTTCACATGTTGCTAGGATTGAAACCATAAGGCTATTTGTTGGTATTGTGAATAGCAATAATTGGTATATCTATCAAAGGGATGTGAAATTTGTGTTTTTGAAAGGTCCGCTTGAAGAAGAAGTGTATGTAGAATAAACCCTTGGTTTTGTTGTGAAAAAACTAGAGGGAAGATTCTACAAGTTGAGAAAAGCGTTATACGGATTGAAGCAGGCTACAAGGGCCTGGAACAAAAGGAAAAAGGGTTTCCAAATTGAGGTTGCCTTCAAGAAATATGTGTCTGAACATGGAGTTTATGTGAATTTTGATACAAGTGAATGTGTGATCATTCTTTGTCTATACGTAGACGATTTTTTATCACGAGCAGCAA